AGGAGGACAGAGCGAGAAGGCAGAGAAGGCACTGTCTCTGAGCCAGGAAGCAGCCCTCACCTGACAGTCACTGGGCTAGCACCTTCACCTTAGACTTGCAGCCCTCAGAACTGTGGGAAATAAACTTCTGTTACTTGTAAGCTACCCAGTGCAGGGCACCTTGTTACAGCAGCCTGAACAAACCAATATAGGAACATGTTCCATGAAGGCAGTTCCCTGGAGGGGAGGAGGCTGAGCATAACAAAGAGAGTGGCTCACCCCACAGGGCACAGAAACCACAGCAGTAAGCCTTACTGCAGAGGCCCAGCCACAGCACAGGGCATGAAGGTGCAGTGCCCTGGAGGGTCTTAATATGACATGCCCCCACCAGGAGGTCCCCCCCAGACACCACTGTGAGCTGCTCCCTCTCCCCTAGGGCACCAGCCATGCAGTAAACAGGCTGTGACTGGACTCTGCCACGTTAACATGCTCTGGGCATTGCTTGCAGGACACAAGAACACTGTGTAGGTCACTATGGGCCCTGGCTGGATGTGGACATGTGCCCAAAGAATGGGAAGGAGCTCTGGCTGACCTTCCCTCCGGCTGCCAGCCCACTCTACCATGCACTGCCTGGTGGCTTTGGCAAGCTACTAGCCTCCACAAACATCAGTTTTCTTTCTCATCTGTAAAATGTGAATAATTATAGTACTTGCTTTTAGAGTTATCATCAGGATTAATCTACATAAAGCACTAGGGATCATGCCCAGCAAAATATTAACAGCCCCACAAATGTGGTGATGGTGGTTATTATTTCACACTGGGTATTAGTTAGATAAAGGGGGTTGATGATCAAGCCACCGACTTGGAAGTGAAAGGGGCAGTGTGAGGAGAGCTGAGAAAGGGGGCTGTTAAGCTGGCATAAGACAGGAGCCACATGGGCCTAATGTCTTGAGCCAACTGCCCAAGCCCCAAAGACCATGGTTATCTGTGTTCTGTGGTATCTGGGGGAAGAGACAGCATCACCCTCCTTAGAACAACTCTGCACTTCAGTCTCTAGGTCCAGGGATAGTTCCTGAGAGACCACCCAGTCCCAGGGCTTGGGGCTTTTGGTCACAGAGAGGTGCTACAACACCAGCATACTACAGCCAGTGGACCACCACTTCAAGACAGATTTCTGTTGGCACCTACAGCAGGTGCCCTGGCCTGACACAGCACCTCTTCCTCTCACCACACTCACCAAGATGGGTTATGAAACTTGCAACCAAGAGTCTGAAGAGCACCGCACACCTCTGCAGCTGTCAGTCAGCACCAAACACTCCCTGTCCCCTCACCCAGGCCGGGATACTGCCATAGTGAAGGGAAGAACCTCCATCTGTCCAGGAGGCAGAGCAGTAAAGAGCTGGCCCTAGAAGTTCAGATAGGCTGAATTCCCCTATTTCTCAGGCCAAAGCCTGGCCCCCAAGGGAATACAGATTCCTGGTCGGGAACCAAAGGATGCTGGTGGGAAGGTTCCCCCTAGCAAATAACACTGCACATGGCACAAAGGGCCCCACGCAAATAGCTGTTGAAATCACAGCTAACACATAACCAAAAAAACAAAACCAAAAAAAAAAACCCCACATAACCAAAAGCAGAAGATTACTTATACTTAAACCACATGACAGTTGCATGGCATTGCTCACTCTCTACCTCAGTTTACCGCATTAACAGTAAATCCACAGAGCATGCAAGTCAAGCCACACCAGACGAGCCTCCCCCATGCGAAGGACACACATGCCTCAGCAACAGTGATCCATCTCAGAAGCAATAGGACCCCAAACAAGAAGCAATAGGACCCCAAACAAGAGCACACAAAGAATGTGTTTTAAAATACATGGGCACTGGGCATCTCCAACACTGGCATGCCCAATAATCTGCTTAAAATAGAGACTGAAAACAAATTTTGAAAATGTTAGGGCTCGGCGCCTATAGCTCAACCGGCTAAGGCGCCAGCCACGTACACCTAAGGTGGCCGGTTCGAATCCCCAGCCCGGACCCGCCAAACAACAATGGCAGCTGCAACCAAAAAATAGCCGGGCGTTGTGGCGGGCGC